TAATCACAATAAAGAGTTACAAATCAAATTTCTCATAGTCCATTGGTTAGCGTTCTCAACTCGTGACACTCCAGTTCAGGGTTCGAGTCCTATTGAAAAGTTTCACTGATCTAAAATTGTCTTTATTTGTATCCAGTTTTATTTCTATTTTATTTTATTTTTATTTTGTTTTTATTTTATTACTTGACTATTATCAAATAATTATTTATTTATTATTTGAATCGAATCAAATACATTTTTTTTTCAATGATATAGTTTCTTCAATTACAAAATCTCCAATAAAAATCCATATTCGAATGTTGTCGACATGAAAAATATTTAATAAATATATAATGAAGAAAATGTCTCGCGCGCGCGTAAGACAAATATTATATTAGAAGCAAAAAAAGAAAAAAAATTGTCGTAAAAATGTTTCTTGAACAAAAGCGAGAACTGGAAGTTATTCTCCGACACTTCATTCTATGATATTGTTATAGTTTTTATTGTATAGTTTTTTGTATACGAAACTATTTACAATCTCATAAACAATGTAACGACTATCTGCACAAAATTATATGAATTATTTTAATAAGATTTCCACTTTTTATATTTACGATTTTTAGTTTTAGAGAGAAGGAAAAAAAAAAAATGTTTTCATGGTCGTTGCGAAGTACTGATTGCTCATTCCTGGTTTATTAGCTATTATTATAATTTATAAAATTGCACGCATGTAACAAAAAGTGAAGGGATAGAATATAACTTTATTATATGCAGTTGATTTTCTCTCTCTCTCTTTTCTCAAACATATATATTAAAAGGATCTGAATGAAAATGTGCCTATTGATTCTGAGTACAAAAGAAAATTTATAAAAATAGATTATAAAACTTTTTCTTTTTTTTATGTTATTTTTTGTATATATAAATCTTTTTTTTTTTTGTTTCTAATATTCTTATTAGAAAAAGATATAATTTATATATAAAAATTTCCCTCTGTTTTTTTTTCTCTTTATCGCAAAAGATATAAAAGTTCACTCCCTTAATATAATATATAAATATGAATAAGTTATGAGACATTTATATTTCTTCCTTATATACTTTATATAGAAGCGAATCGACAATTTCTAAATCACCCATATAGTCCAAAGATATCTGCATAAATTTTTCTTCTCCGATAAAGAGATAATATAGTAATAGAGATCAATCATAATTCTTGGGTCTTTTATTCAATTCCACAAGTCGCTATATTAGCATACATATGAGAGTTCAAAACAATCGAGAGGACAGATTTCTGATTCGATAAGAAGACAAGAGAAAACGTGGATTGTTTCTCTCGTAAAATCATATATATATATATATATATATATATATATATATATGAAATTCCATGTTTATTCAATATATATCGTAACTACTTTGGAAGCGCGGTTTTTTCTTATCGTTCGTAGGGTCAGGGATGGACTTGTGTGTGAGCTTTATTTGCCGGCGTTGCATTTATATTGGGGTGGGGGAGATCCACCGGGAGGGACGGCTAATTTCATCGTGATAAAAGGAGGACCCGAGGGGCTGTTCACTCTCGAATACCCGATTTGTAATGTAGAGAATATACTAGGTATCTTCCGAATATTCATCAATTAACATAAGAAAATGTAAATTTCTTGATTCTGAATATATTGTATTTTAATTGGAGATTACCGACGATTATTGAAAAGGACGTTCGAATTTGTCGAATACTATGCGAATCCAAACGAATCTCGTCGATTCCAGTAAAATTCTAAATCATGCAGTAAGAATTGTTGCGAGTCACGAATGGTTACGGAGACATACGAGCGAATTCGGCGGCGAATTATACAATTAATCTATTTTTCTTGCAATCTTACTCTTGCAAGTAATTACTTCAAATAAAATGAAAGCACTATTTCCCTTAATTTCAAAATAGGAATTACAAAAATGACTAGCAATCCTTAAAAATCTTTAATGAATTCTCAAATATTGTTCAATTGGATTTTCAGTGAACAGCCCCTCGGGAGGACCAGTAAATATATGCTCCTCCCGCTTTATATATATATAGAAGTGTATATTGCCTCGCGGCATATAAAAAAAATTATTAATCTCCTTGAACAATGACCAGACTGATGGCATAAACAAAATTCATTTATAATCGACTACTGATTCATTTTAAGAATCATTTTTAGATTTATTTTTTTATGGAGAAGAATTTAATTTATTTATCTAGATAGATTTTAATATTGTTTTTTATCGAAATTATTTAATATTTTAAAAATGAATTTAGAACAAAAAACTTTTTTTGATCCTGTGAAAGGATTCTGTTCCCTATTTTTTTTTTTTGGTATATTGAAAAAACTATTTTTATTAAATAATTATTAAGTTAATTAAATGGTATTTGTTTTAACTAGAGAAATTATTGATTGAAATACAGTTTATTTAATTCGAATAAAAATTATTTGGTTCAAATTTCTATTTGATACAGTGAAAAAATTTAATTTATTCGAATAATCGGTTTCAAATAATTATTATTTGAGTGGTATTTGCGTCAAATAAAGTAATTATTTGTTCAAATACAGTTGAATTATTTGCTAAATATTTATTTGATAATAGTTAAGTAACCGACTATTTGAATCAAATTTTTCTTTTCAGTGTAGTAAAGTAACCGAATACTTGAATCAAATAAATTTTCAGATTTTTAAGTTGTTTATACTTTTATGATATAGTTCAAAATAATTCATTTTTTTATTGTAATTTTGATTGATAGGTACACAGAAAATTAAAAGGCATTAAAATAAGCTGCAACGCTTCTTATTTTAATCTAATTTTGCTTATTTTAATCCATTTTGGTATTAAAATAAGCAAAATTGGATTAAAATAAGAAGCGTTGCAGCTTATTTTAATGCCTTTTAATTTTCTGTGTATAGTTGCGAATTGTTTTCGATATAATTTAAAGAAAGATGAATTTCTTAAATTTGATACTGATAATAATTTTCAGTAAACAATTACTATAGTACATGAAACTTTTTTGAGATAACCCGCGTGAAAAACGAACTATGGGAAAAAGCTATCAAAAGCTGGCAAAAGATGGGAGAAGATTTTCGCCATTGTTTTTAAGTTTTATCCCATACTTCAAAGAATTGCAAAAAGCTCACAAACCATTGCTTATGAGCCTTTCCCATACTTTTTTTTTTATCATATAACATTGCTAAAATCTTGCCAAAGTATTGCAAAAATATGGGAATAAAATAAAGTCAATTTTTTCTAACTTACTTCTTATTTTTCTCATTTTTTTTCTGAAAATCATTGCAAAACAATGGGAAAAAGATTAAGAAAGAAAAAATTTATTTTTCTCATTTTTTCATCTTTAAAAATTAGATTTTTAAAGTATTGCTAAAACCTGGCAAAAATATACGAACAAAATTAATCAATTTTTCTCGTTATTTTAGCTTTAAAAATCTGATTTTTGAAGTATTGCAAAAATATGGGAATAAGATTTTGAAAGAAAAAATCAATTTTCCTCTATTTTTCAACTTTGAAAATTTGATTTTTAAAGTATTGCAAAAATATGGGAAAAAGATTTTGAAAGAAAAAATCAATTTTCCTCTATTTTTCAACTTTAAAAATTTGATTTTTAAAGTATTGCAAAAATATGGGAAAAAGATTTTGAAAGGAAAAATCAATTTTCCTCTATTTTACAACTTTAAAAATTTGATTTTTAAAGTATTGCAAAAATATGGGAAAAAGATTGGAAAGAAAAAATCAATTTTCCTCTATTTTTCAACTTTAAAAATTTAATTTTTAAAGTATTGCAAAAATATGGGAAAAAGATTTTAAAAGGAAAAATCAAATTTCCTCTATTTTTCAACTTTAAAAATTTAATTTTTAAAGTATTGCAAAAATATGGGAAAAAGAGTTTGAAAGGAAAAATCAATTTTCCTCTAATTTTCAATTTTAAAAATTTGATTTTTAAAGTATTTTCCTCTATTTTTCAATTTTAAAAATTTGAGTTTTAAAGTATTGCAAAAATATGGGAAAATTGATTTTTCCTTTCAAAATCTTTTTCCCATATTTTTGCAACACTTTAAAAATCAAATTTTTAAAGTTGAAAATTAGAGGAAATTTATTTTTTCTTTCAAAATCTTTTTCCCATATTTTTGCAATACTTTAAAAATCAAAATTTTAAAGCTGAAAAATCGAGAAAGATTGATTTTTTCTTTCCAATCTTTTTCCAATGATTTCGCAATACTTTAAAAAACAAAGTTTTAAAGTTTAAAAAATAAGGGAAATTGATTTTTTCACTACCAATCTTTTTCCCATATTTTTGCAATACTTTAAAAATCAAAATTTTAAAGTTGAAAAATAGAGGAAAATTGATTTTTTCTTTCAAAATCTTATTCCCATATTTTTGCAATACTTCAAAAATCAGATTTTTAAAGCTAAAATAACGAGAAAAATTGATTAATTTTGTTCGTATGTTTTTGCCAGGTTTTAGCAATACTTTAAAAATCTAATTTTTAAAGATGAAAAAATGAGAAAAATAAATTTTTTCTTTCTTAATCTTTTTCCCATTGTTTTGCAATGATTTTCAGAAAAAAAATGAGAAAAATAAGAAGTAAGTTAGAAAAAATTGACTTTATTTTATTCCCATATTTTTGCAATACTTTGGCAAGATTTTAGCAATGTTATATGATATTAAAAAAAAGTATGGGAAAGGCTCATAAGCAATGGTTTGTGAGCTTTTTGCAATTCTTTGAAGTATGGGATAAAACTTAAAAACAATGGCGAAAATCTTCTCCCATCTTTTGCCAGCTTTTGATAGCTTTTTCCCATAGTTCGTTTTTCACGCGGGAAATTTCTAGTTTTATATATATATGAAAATATTCAATTTTTCGATAAAAAATATATGAAAAGTAAGTAAGATTCAAAATGAAAAAAATATTCTATAATCATTATAATTTTTTTTTTTTTTCTTAAGAATAGTATAGTGAGTATAAAATATATATATTTATTTTCAGGATGCGACGGAGAATCGGATGAAGGTGGTAGCAAGCGTAGAAGAAGCAGGACAAATTTCAATAGTTGGCAATTGGAGGAACTGGAACGAGCTTTCCTCTCGAGCCATTATCCCGATGTATTTATGAGGGAAGCGTTGGCTGTGAGACTCGAATTAAAGGAAAGCCGCGTTGCAGTAAGTATTTTTTTTTTAACATTACATTGTAGTTATTAAAAAAAGGCTCATCACTTATATAAATTTCTATTATAATCTTTTATCGATTAGATATTATATTATTTATACAGAAAAAATTATTTTCTAATTTATTAATTGGAGTTTTTATTATTCTATACTAGAAGCAATAAATGCAAAAAGAAATTTAATATTATAAATAAAAATTGTAATTGAGTTTGATTTTTATCAGCAGGAGAAAATGTTGATAAAAATAAATATAACAAATATAGATGAGAAACGAATTGAATTTAGATTAGTTTCTTTTGGTAGGTTTCTTTTAATGTTTGTCGCATTTATATAAGGGGTGCATAAAATTTTTTTTTTTTTTTGAAGATTACGTGGGTAAGATAGGCGCGAATATTTGAATTGAGTTTAGATTTGGAGTTGATGCGGGAAGGTTGATACTCGACAGACGTTTAGGGAGTATTCGACCTTTTGACTTGCTGAGATCTCGCAGCATCTCTCTTAACCCTCTTTTTGTTTCTCTCTCTCTCTCTCGTTCCCCTCTCTTGGGGGTAGTTAGTCCATCTGCTAGAGCTCTCTGTGGTTTGCTCTCGGCGTTGTTCTTCTTCTCCTCCACATCTTTTGGAAACTGCGCGCCGTTCAAATGCACATGGGGTGCCAAAACCAATGGGGAATTAGAATTCAAGTGTATATCTTATCTTATCTCTAATGACATCCACTTGTCACGTGTTTCCTCTTCAAATGTATATAAATACAAAACACAATTAATAGTTGTATCACATCATACATTATTTTTTTTGTTATTGGTATATATATACACTGAAATAATTTTTATTTATAATTATAATGTATTTTAAAATGGGGAAAACTCTGATTTTGTATGAAATTTACTAATTTCTTATCAAATAATACCAAAAATTAATCATACTAATCTTTAGTATTATTTGGTCAGAAACTAATACGATTAAATAGCATACAAATGTAGAGTTTTCTCAATTTTAAAATACACTATATTAATTTTTTAAATGAAAATATTTTCAGTGTAGTTTTATTACTGCGGTATGATTCCAGAGAAGTGGAAATTTAATTTGAAATAATTGTAAGAAGTAAATTAAAACAAAAAATTTTTCATTTGACAGTCTGAAATTAATTTACCTTTTAAATTTATTGGGAAATTTTCACTTATTTAGAGTGTATGATATTTGGCGATACACGGGGAAAAATAAAGTAATTTATTAAATTAATTTAATTACTTTCAATGTAAATAATAAATCAAATGAAATGAAAAATCCTAAATTGCCCGGAATCTCTGTCAATTTTTCCTCCGGAAATAGTAAAAATACTATACTATTATTGAGTAAACTTTACTATACCAGGAGTAATTTTTTTCTATCTTCGAAGCAAAAGTTGCCAGAGATGCGTAGAATTTTTGAACAGTTTAGATTTTACTTTGTAACTATAGTAAGAGTTAATTTATATTTTTTTCCATGTACTTTTGGGTCTTTATTTACAACAAAATTTTTCTTAAGGCCAGGTCCAAGTGAGGCAGCGCCATCTACATTGAAACTAAAATTTTGGAAAATTTTCAACAGCCTTTTCTTAAAACAAGATGGTAAAATGCTTTTTCCTTTATGGATAATTGATTATTGGCAAGATATACACCAGCTAAAACTTTTTTTGAGTTAAAATAATAAAAAAAATTTTATGTCAATAAATTAAATATGAGCACTTTTTTCACAAAAACTGTAACAGTACTTTCTCAGAAATTACAATCAAAAATGCTATTTCCATTTGGAAAATTAATAAACGCTAAAAAATACACGACCTAAGATTTACCAATCACGAAAATAACAAAAAAAAAAGTATTTTAACATAACATATTGTACTCATTATGACAGCCGTTTGGCAGGTTATATATGTCACCAGACGTTTCGCAGTTTTGCCGAAAGGAGGAGATTGGCGCTGTTGCTAACCACCTGAAATACATAATCTACCAAAGGGCTGTCACAATCAGTAAAGCAGTATCAATATGTTAAATATTTAATAAAATTTTTTTTTGTTATTTTCGTGATTGGTAAATCTTAGGTCGTGTATTTTTTAGCGTTTATTAATTTTCCAAATGGAAATTGCATTTTTGATTGTAATTTCTGAGAAAGTACTGTTACAGTTTTGGTGAAAAAAGTGCTCATATTTAATTTATTGACATAAAATTTTTTTTATTATTTTAACTCAAAAAAAGTTTTAGCTGGTGTATATCTTGCCAATAATCAATTATCCATAAAGGAAAAAGCATTTTACCATCTTGTTTTAAGAAAAGGCTGTTGAAAATTTTCCAAAATTTTAGTTTCAATGTAGATGGCGCTGCCTCACTTGGACCTGGCCTTAACGATTGTTATAATCAGCGATAGTTTATACAATTATTAAAATCAAAAATATTATTTTGTACACTGAAAAAATTTTTGTGCAACAGATGTCCCAATCGGAAAATTTTAGTTATAACTTCACTCATAAAAACTGGTAAATATTTAGCATGAAGTTAATTGAATATATAGAAATTTTTTGTTTGTCAACATTATTATCGGTTAATATAACAATAGTCATGAAAAATGTTGTGTCAAAATAATACTCAAAATCGGAAAATATGATTTAATATATGTCATTCGCCTCGTTTTGTACCTTTAAAAAAAATTCAAAATTGCCACCAAGACGTCGATTACCTTTAAAAGACCTTCTTCATCCAAACGAGATATGGACGTTGAAAAAATTGAGGGGCAAAAGGGAAGGAGGGGGAATGGAAGGGTGGCTGTCAATTTCACGGCCGGTCGGACAAGCGCTTTTATGCTGGCACCCTCCCGTCTGCTCTCTCTCTCTCTCTCGCTTTCTCTCTATAATTCTATATAGTCATCCATAGGATATTTATATTTATGCGCTTAGACACGCTTGGCGAAACATGTGCGACTAGCGCTTGTCTCCTACGCAAATCCGCAGATAATAATTTGAGTCCGCATCAGTTGTATTTTGGACCCTTGCAAGGAATTGGAGACATATTTTCGAATATAGAGAGGGGGGGAACCCTTTTTCTTTTTTTGTAATATATAAAAGATTGGACGATAATTATTTTGATCCTATGTGACGTCTTCGCGTAGATACATATGTTCTCTGGTTGCGAGAGAGGCGGAGAGAGATTAGATAGGAAATCAACAGATTTGTCGGAGGGATAAAACTAATACGTGGATAATGAAGTCGTTCTTATCGTGCGCCACTGGAAATGACTGTGTGTGCCGACGGTGAACTTTGTATGTGTGAAGTATATGGCCTTTTTGGGTGAGTTGAGAATACGATCCTATGCGGCCTCTCGTGTCGCTAAACAAGGGTTGTAACTTTGCTTTCAGCTTGATTCTCAACACCTTTCTACGAAAGGTACCAGGGGTTAGGGGGAGGGGATGATAATTTTGGTGGATTAACTTTTATTTAGCTCTAATTTTCCTCGAATGCACTTTTTCAGTTTACTTTGTTGCAAGTTTTTTTTTTTTTTAAATTGTATATAATGGACTTTTTGAAAACGGTGTAATTTTATGTCTTATCTGTCGCTAATTATGTGTTTTATATTATTATTATTTTCTTTAATAACAGTTACTATTTACGAATAAGTAAATTAAATTTTCATATTTTTTTTACAGTTTTATTTTATATTATTTTATATTTTTATTCAATATTTGATGTTTTTATTAGTCTAGACACGGTGAAAGGGACCTTACAGTAAACATAACCTAAAAATTTGTTCACCGAAAGGTCCCTTTCATTGAGTCAGGACACTATATATTTTTATTTATTTTATATATTACTTATTTTCTATTTCTTATTTTTTTTAGTATTTATTTTATATTTTTGTTTGATATTGCATTTGTTAGAAAATTTATTGCCATCATTTGTCAGGGTATATTCATATTTATTAAAAATATCTAAACGAAAGTCATTTTGATGATTATGAATTAAGAATTTGGTGTTTTAATTTAATTGTCAGGAAAATTACGAAAGCTTGGAACAATTTGTAAGCACGACGACAACGGCTTTTTTTGTGTAATTATATTTAAAAATAGTTAATTTTTTTTTATCAAGCAAGTTTCTTATCAAAATTCTTATTACTTTGTATATGTGTAAGAAATATAGAAGGAATTGCCTTTTAACCGCGATTTATGTTACACGTGGATGTATTGAAAAAAAGTAATTTTTAACAAAAGAAAATTAAACTCTTCTTTTATTATAATAAAGTAGTAAATGGAATTTGTTGCTCGTGTATGAAAACAAATTATTTTTAATTAAAAAAAAATATTTTTTTAATTTTTTTCAATTCATTTTCATATTTTTCAATTAATTTTTTCAAACGTTTACATTTTTACGTATATATTTATTTTTTAGCAGTGCAAAATAGAGTAATAAAAAAAATAGGTAGCAGTTAAGTGTTTATGTTAACAGATAATTAAGATTGTAAGGTTTTCTCATTAGTATAGTCGGATAGTGAGAAGAGTAGGTTGACGAAGGGTCGTTTTAGATGGAATGGGGTTGTTTGCGTGAGCGTTAGCTGTTATAAAGTGCGCTTGCACTATCAGAGCTCTTAGAACGGGCAAAAAGTAACCTTAGAATGATGAAGAAGAAAAAGAAGAAGAAGAAGAAGTCATAAGGGCAAGTGACGTGACTTGGCCAGGGTGTTTTAGAGGGTTGCAAAAAGGGGCTATTGATCTCAAGCTCGCGTGAGACCAGCGCCATTTACCGGCTGCGGTTACCCTTTGTAACTATAATGTCTTCATTCCACATACCTTTTTTTTTTTCTTGAATTGTCGACTTTATAATGCACTCTTATCAAATCAGTGACACGGTATATATATATATGTATATACATGGTTCGTGCACGAGTGTCACTTTAACACCCCAGCAACTTGTCGATTCATATCTGTAAATTCTCGTTATTTTTATATTAATTACTTTATTGTGTGTATGTTTGTATAGTTTTGATGAGTTAATTTAATCTTCTAATAGTTTCGATCGTTTTTTAAAATTAATATTTATATCAATTGAGATAATTAAAATTAATATACAGAAAAAATTTATTTTCCTTAATTATTACAATGAAAAAAAAAATTTATTTGAATCTAATAATTGGTTACTTGACTATTATTATAAATACACGGAGAAAAAAGGAAAAACGAATAAAGTAACATTTGCTATTTTAAAAGGTAAACCTGAACTGTTCGCAGTTTCTGGAAATTTTTACTTCAGACATAGTAAAATTTACTCCTGAAATAGTAAAAAATTATTCCCGAATTAGTAAATTTTACAATTTCTGGAGTCAAAATTGCGTAGAAACTGTTCAGGTTTTACTTTTAAAATAATTATTATTTTAGTCAATTAAATGGTATTTGTTTCAAATACAGAAATTCTGGATTAAAAATTTTAAATACAGTCTATTTAATTCAAATAAAAATTATTTGGCTCAAGTAAATATTTATTTGATAATAAAGTAGGTACATAATATTATTCGAATCAAATTTTTTATAAATATTTACTTGGATTTTGTTTTAAAATGTTATAAATTTTTTCACATTAAAGAATTATTTATTTTTTCGAATACAATTTTTAATTTGTTTATTAGAAAAACAATTTCTTCTTTAAATGTATCTATATAATATTTGTACATTTCTTCTCATTAGACAAATATAGCAGCTGGTGGGATATATTTTTTTTTTTATTGCAGTTTATGTAAACGTGATTTGTAATAACATATTTTGAAACAAATTGATTTGCAATAAAAATGTTTCATTAAAACAAGTTTTCCTTCGAAATAACTGCTTTTTAGAATATTGGTAGTTAAAAAAATATTTCGTATTAATTAAATATTACAAAGAAATAAATTATATTAGTGATGAGAATTATATACGCTTTTTAGTCTCTTTTTGTTTGTTAATTTATCGATTATTATTCTCATTACAGGTGTGGTTCCAAAACCGCAGAGCAAAGTGGAGGAAAAAGGAGCACACAAAAAAAGGACCCGGTAGACCTGCGCACAATGCACATCCACAAAGTTGTAGCGGTGAACCAATTCCCCCGGAAGAATTGAGGAGAAAAGAACGCGAAAGGCGACAGAAAAAAATTCTAAAAGCTCTCGAAAGACAACAACGAAAATTAGCCGCTAAGGTAAATTGAGTTTTATAATATAATTACATGAGGAAAAGAAATTTTTTTTATATAATAGAAAGTAGTTTTGTTAATTAATTAATTTAGTTTTATTAATTTGTTTATAATTAACTATTAATTTGATTTTTAAAAAATTCCAGTTTGGAAATACAAAATTTAAAAAAAAAAAATCTTAACTGTCAGTAGATTTTTAAACGTGTATCACCGTCAAGTTGAAATTTGCAACACTCTCGCGTGTATTACAGTTGCCCGAGTATAATTGCAATATATTTTCGTGTAATCATAAATTTCGTGAACCACGTGACTCTCGCCACAATTGGATTTTGCCAACCCGCACATAAAGTATGCAAAATATATTTTCCACAAACTATGTGTATATGTACATTGTTGCTATTCGCAATGAGAGAAATGCTTTTCCATATAATGAAACGTTATTCTTAATTCCCTTAATCATGTAAATGTTTTTTCGCATGGCAATACATATACACGTATATATATAGTACACGACAAGGATTTAGACACGTCTGTCATATATATATACGCGTGACGATAAATTATTATGGATTGAGAACTAACATTTATCTCCAAGCAACTATATTGCATTCGTCATATAAATGAATAATAATTAATTTAACTATATGCAAATTATTAATTATCTCATTTTGACTTCCTCTTAAATACATATATTATGAATTAGAAAGTGACACATTCAAAGTAAAATATAAATTGAATGTTAATTTCTTTGCTTGGATTTTTTTTTTTCTTGAACACATTTCAATTACAGTATTTTGCCGCGACTTGAGAGGGGAAATAAAAATCGCGTGACTTAAACTATATATACATATTATGTATATGAAAATTGCTTTTTGAATTCTTTTTTTTTATTAATTATTATATTAAGAGCTGGCTTTTTTTCAATCAATCTGATAATAAATATTATATAAAATTTTGAAAAGTTAAATTGGATTATAATAAAAATAAACTTTTTTGTAATTTTATTAATTATAGAAATGATAAAGAAAATTGGAATATAAGTTTATAAAAAAAACATTTCAACTTGACGGAAGGAGAATGTAGATTGCAATTAGACTTCAATTAAAGTGAGTTAATTAGTGTGTATGATTCTATATAGTCAGAATCACTGATTCATATCATTTTCTAAGGTATTAATTTATTTTTTTTTTCCCCCTTTGCAATATCGATTTAATCAATTTTCTCTTTATTTTTTTTTTTTGCAGGGAATTTCCGTTGATCTCTCGACATTGCGAGCCGAATGGGAACAACGAAGTGCCGCAGCATCAAGTGGCAATTCCTTAGGCTCTTTTGGTCATTTGAGCAATAATAATGAGGGCAGCAGTATTTCCGGTTCGGGGAATGATGCAAATGAAGAAATCGATGTTGTTGGTGGTCTTGATTCATGTAGCGAAAGTGATAGCGAACGAGTTGATGATTCAGCCGCCGATGGTTCGATAGATGGTGAATGTTATCCGCGTATGATTGTTGATCAAAAATCACCAAATTCCTCGAATAATCATCATCCACTTCAAAATGCAAATTCGGGTTTTCATATTAATTTAGATATGAATCATCAACAGGGAATAAATCATTGGGGTTTAAGTCTATTGGAACGAAGACGAGAACTTATTAGTCTAAGTAATTCGGGATTGAGAACATCGTCATCGAATAATAACAATAATAATAATAATAATCATCATCATCATCGACTGATCTCATCGCAACAAAATAATGATCGTGTTCTGCATGACGATGAGGTGCAGAGTAGCAGTATTGATCTGTCTGTGAAAGGTAGGGAGGAAAGAAAGAGACTGAATCCATTCTCGATAGACAGCCTCCTTGGTAATAATCGGTCCAGTACTCCCATTATTGTTAAACAAGACAGGTCATCAACACCCACTCTCTCCAATGGTAGAGAATCAACTACCCCCACTTCGTTCACATCCCCCATTTCATTACCAACATCACCCTCAACCACGTAGTCTTCTCTCCGGGTTTAAGAAAAATAGCGTTACCTTTTTTTTTTTTTATTTTGCTTCAGTAATCATTATTCGTGAAAAAAAAGTTCGAATTCAGTTTTAAATTCATTTGATATTAAAATTAAGCGGAATTGAAATATTAATTATGGACTTAATTTTGGAAATATCTTAAATTATCACAAATATTGTTCTTCGGATAATTTTATTATAATTCGAAATTTAAATTGGTCTTTAATTATTATTTTAAATTTTTAATTAGATATGTATTTCAATATTTAATTGAAAACAAAATAAATTAGAAAAATTTATCTCGTTTATCGTAAAATTGTGAGATTGATCTCAAGAACTTGTTTTGATTTTTTCTCGTTATTTTTATTTAACGAGTTAGGTTATAGAACTATATAAATTATATTATATATAATTATATAAATTAAAAAAAAAAATTCCTTATATTGATTATATATGTAAATAATTCGGTTCAGTAAATCGAATTATTAAATAATATTTATTTATGCTTTCAGTAGAAAAAAAAATGTTTGTACATTTGATTAAAATTACAAAAAAAAATTAAAAAAAGAAAAATGAATTTTATTTGCAATTTGCAAATAACCTTATAATGTAAAAAGGAAAAAGAGAAAGAAAAAAAAAATCAAAAATATTAGTAAATTAAAATAACGAAATTTTGGAATTCGAATCATTACTGAAGCAAAATTTACGGTGACGCTAAACTTATATCCTCTCCACATATCTTTTTCTATAGATCCCATTTTCATCGAGAGGCAAATGTGCAATAAAATTAATAAACAAAAAAGACATCGTGCAAACGATGGTCAAGTCCTTCTTAAAAAAAAAAAGTAAAAAGAATTTTTTTTTTTTCCATATTGTCGCGACATTTATTTATTAATATTATTTATCATCATTATCATTATCATATAATTAAGAAGGACTTGCCACGTAATTTTTTGAAATGTATATTTATTGTAAATAGTTCGACGCAGTAATTTAATTGACGTAGTGTTTACGGAAAAAAAGTCTAATGTTCGACGATTTGCGAATATTATTTAAAAGAAAAAAATAAATATAGGGTTTTGTGCGCCCAAAAAGTGTGTAAATAAATATGAGTGTGTAGGTAGGCAACTATATGACTTGTGAATGAATTAATTCACAAGCTTTGAAGATAGAACACGCCATAAAAAAAAAAGAAAAAAAAATATTGAGATTCAAAAAACAGTACCTACCGTATATCCATTATAAATATATTAATTTATTCTCAAATACATTGATTTATTGATCTACAGACAAACCTTATCAATTCCATAAATCCTATTTTACAGCCTTCTTTAAATTAAAATCTGAATTATATTATTTCAGCTCATATAATTTTTAATTATATTTCTTTTTTTCATTAAAAATTAAATAAAAATGAAAATTTAATTAATTGGCCTTTTTTTTATTCTTCTTATTAATGTTTCTTTTTAAAAAATAAATTTCAGCTTGGAATATAATTAACATGTTTTTCTATATATATAGTAAAAATAAGTGACAATTGAATGCATCAATTAGCGGGAATTAAATTTCAACTGATCGAATATAATAAGATATAAAGCGGTATTTTCTTTGACATTTTAATCGTTAGAGAATGGATGACCGTAAACAAAAGGCAATGAGAGGTGAAAGAAGATGATAAATAAAATACTGAAATACATCTCGACAATGACTCGATAATGAGTTGCTCCCAGTAATTTATATGATTGCAAATATAATTATTAAGCTCATTAACAATTTCAGTTTCTTCTTTTATTCTTTCATTTGCAACTATTTCATATTTATAATTATATATGTTATATTTTATATTTATTTAAAATATTTAATATTTCAGAAAAAAAAATTTTTAAATAAAAGGATATTATTTTCGTTATGAAATTGAATAGTTTTTTTTTAATTTTCATTTGAAAATAGCGAAATAATATTAAAAGAAAATTGTTTTGCTTTACGCATTTGTTAAGGTATATCCATATTCGCAATAAGAGACAATTGAGTTCTGATATATTTTTTTTTGTATCGATCGGAACTTTCAATTCAGAACCTATTATTTCTAGATTTTATGGGGGAGAAAAAAAAACCTATCACGCAAACTGCGATTGAAATTATTTATTCACTTACACCTCGTGGAAAAAATATTTATTTCACACTAATTTTAATATATAATCCCTCATTTTCATCTCCGACTTTTTTTTTTAACAAAAATGATTTTTTTTTTTAAATATTTTTCCATCCAAGTTTAATTTATAAACATTTCTCTTTTGAAAATAAAAAATTTTATTTTCTGAAAATTATTTATATATATCAAACTAGATACCTATCTATAAATTTTATTTTATTTTTTTTGCTTTTTTAATTGAATAAAATGAAAAATTTTACTGCTTTAAATTAAATGCAGATGATATTTATATTAAATAATAATTTATGTAATATAAATTATGATTAATTGTCCATGAGAAAGAAATCTGACACTTTTTTAACAGGTATAATAACTGGCAATATAAAACATATGGCGAAGGTAAATGTAGACCTGTTAGGAAAAAAAAATTGTATATATATATTCTTCAATAGTGTGTTAGTGATATACACCTTGGCGTCACAAAAACAGACTCTATTTCACGGATGATCTAAAGTCATAGAAAGTGAAGTGCTACACAGAAAATTAAAAGGCATTAAAATAAGCCGCAACGCTTATTATTTTAATCCAATTTTGCTTATTTTAATCCATTTTCGTATTAAAATAAGCAAAATTAGATTAAAATAATAAGCGTTGCAGCTTATTTTAATACCTTATAATTTTCTGTGTAATTCTAAATAATTCATGCCAGGAAGAACATCATTCAGAAACCGTTTGAAAAAAAATATCCGCCTTCACTATTATTTTCATTCAAAGGCTTATATATTTCTTCTTTATTTCCTTATTTCTATTTCTTTATATATTCCTTACTTTGCAATAAGATCTTTATAATTCATATTTTTTTATTACCTGATGATAAAATGCGCTTGTTATAAATAAATTCACGATAATTTCAATCTGGATTCGAATAAAATTGTAAATTTTTTTATTACTCAATTTTTATAAAGAAAAAACACTTTTTTCTTTGAAAGAAATGAGTACGCTTTTTTTTGTACGATTAATCGCACGAGTTGTTAAATTTAATTGAGTTGGATTTTAAAAATTAATTCAAAACTTGAGTTAATTATTAACTTTTATAATTAATGAAAATTAATATAATTGTAATTTTTATTTATGTTATATTTTAGTACTTTTTTTATGTTATTAATTTCTATATTCTGTGTATTGTCAAATAATTTCATGAAAATTTGATTCAAATAATCGATTGATATCAAATAATTTTTGTAAAAAAATACCACTTAATTTGACTCAATAATTATTTAATACTACACTGAAAAAAAATATTGATTGGGGTTATCATTTTTGAGATGACCATTTTTAGTTATAACTGTTGCTAATTTATTAGTTATGGTTACTATTTTTAATGATTGGCATAACTATTTTATTAGTTGGATTAACTAATTATTTTTTGGAATAACTAATTAGTTACCTTACTAACGAAATGATTAGGCTGATTAACTAAATGGTAATAGTTACTAATATAAATTAGCAAAAATACTCTTACTAACAAATGGTATATCATTTTGTTAGTAAGAGTATTTTTGCAGTATTTTTTATAATCGCAACCAATCGTTTCTCTCAGTGTACTAAATATTTATTTAATAATAATCAAGTAACTGATTTTTCAATAGGAAATTATTATTCAGCCAAAATGATAAATTGTTAAATTAATTCGTTGCTAAATTATGATAAATAATTGTTAATAATCTTTTTTTGCAGAAGGAAAAATTAATAGTAAATTGAAAATCTAATTTATTAATAAAATTTTTTTTTAGTTTTATTCAATAATAACAAAATATGTAAAAAAATATGATTGATCGAGATAAAGAAGTATGAGCGTTTCTCCCGGTTGTAGATTTTAGTAATCGCGTTCAAGATGAGAGGATTGAAACAGTGAAAACAATTTGCGGGATTTTTTATATGCTTTTTGTGTGAGGATTTTTTTTTTCTTATAATATACGCATATATAATATTTTATTCGGTTATCGTGATTCACGAAGTGTACAAAAGCGGGGCGCGGTTTTTGTTTCTCTCTCTCTCTCTCTCTCACTCTTTCTTGCGAGAGACGATCTTTATGCGCGTACAAGGTGTAACTTTGTTCGATCGAGTCCGATCCATAATAGATCAGGCGGCAGATGCTTCTTCGTTGGTTATTACCCAGAGGTCATAAGGTCGATCGCTCACATAAACCATTTAGGCATCGATCGACTATCGATACCGATATTTCCCAGACGTATATCGGTTATCTTTTCGCTACGATCTGCGCACTCCGACAAAAGCCACGCCACATTCTCTCTCTCGCGCTTTCGCTCAAGCCCCACCCACACGGTTTTGAGATTAAATATATCTGGATCTGCGCACGTTTTGTACACCTCTCGAAAACTTTTGCGAGAGATTCATATATAGTAAATATATATATATATATATATATATATTTCATAATATTAGGGCCTTTGTTGAGGATGCCAAGAAGGTTCGCACTCGCGCGCAACATCTTCCCTCGTAAATTTCGAAAATGATTTCCTATGCATCTTGGGATTTCAATCTCCTGTTGCAACTGGGAGAGAGATCCCGCAGAACCACCCAAGTGCATCAGGGTTTAATATTATATGAGAAATAATAGTTTTTTTTTGTATACTTTCGTACAGAAAAAATTGAAATTTTCTGTTTTCAACGCCTCTTGCAATAAAAATTATCTTTTGTTTTTTTTAAATGGAGATTTTTTTTTCAAAGATGATCTTTTAAGAGGAAAAATGATTTTTTTCTATAATTGTAGGTGATCTTCTTTTTAAATTATACGACTAGCAAAAGACACATGTGTAGAACATTTTTAAAATATGTAATTTTTATACTAGAATAAAAATAATAAATATATATAGGTAAATAGGTAATAATAGTAGAAAAAATAAATAACTAAAATCAAAAATATTTTATTTTATTATTATTATTATTATTTTATTTTTATATTCAAAAATCAAATATTTTAATCCAGTTGCAATTCGTGTTTTGACCTGTTTAGATGTCATAATATTTATTGGTATTAAAATAAAAATAATAATAGTATTAAAAATAAATAACTAGAAAATTACAATTCAAATAATTCCAAAAATATAAAATTCAATCTAGTTGCAATTCGTGTTTTGACCTGTTTAAACGTGATCATATTTAATTAAATTATTCAATTTAATTATATAATTTAATTAATATTTAATTAAAAATTCAATTATTTGCAATTCGTGTTTTGACCTGTTAAGAAGTGATAGTATATTTTCGTATAAAAAAAATTATATGTACAGTAATTTTCAAATTAAAACCTTCAGTAATTTAATATAAGTGAGAAAAAATTATATTTTTAATTTTTTTTATTATATTATATATTGTATAATATTTTATTATTCAGAGTGATTTTTATGTTCCGGACCCCCTAAAAATTTTTTTAATTCCACTTTTTTTTGTTTAAAAAATGAATTTAAAGAAAGATTTTTAGGGTGTTTGAAACATAAAAATCACCCTGTATAATAATATTATAAAATATACTTTCAACTATACATTAATTAAAGTCGAAGTTTGGAACTATCATTATACCTGCGTTTTGACCGAGCCGTTTGTTTATACATTGAAGTACACAAAAAGTACCTTAAGAAACAAGGTCATAACAATGAAAATCCCAAGCATAATTAAATCAGTTTCAATTCGCGTATTGACCTGTTTAGACGTGATCAAAGTGCGTGTAAATTTTCTAATATTAAAAAGTAAATATTCGCTCTATTAAATCTAGTTTTATTATTTCTTTCATTTTTTTAGTTTATATTTTCACATACAATTATAAATTCAATAAATGCTCGGGAATACTTTAATCTTATTTTTATTCGAGAACGAAAAAAAAATTGTTTAGTGTGTGTGTATTTTTTTTGTCATTTTAGTAAATTTTTTTGTTCCGGGAGTGTTCGAAAAATTTTAAACTCGTGATCGCTTAAAGTTTTTTAAAAAAGTATTTTCATATTTTAAAACGTGGTTTCGGGAGTGTTCGAAATTTTTTAATCGCGTGTTTGTGTTTCCATGCAGAGATCATTGTCGTTTGAAATATTGATTGATTGC